TGATGGCGCCTGTCTCAATCCCCCAGCCCTTCCCGCCGCACACCATGAGGGGACAGAGGAAGCGAGTGGGAAGAGAACCAGAACAGACAGTTCCCATCATCCTTGGGAGAGCAAAGTCACCACTGTTCTTCATGCAGTGAAAGGAGAGAATTGGCTTGACGTCTCTGTAAGTTTTCACTCTTAAAAAGATCTGCCTCGGGGTCTGGAGCGATAGCACAGCAGGTAGGGCGTTTGCCTTGCACGCGGCCAACCAAGGTTCAATTCCCAGCATCCCATGCAGTCCCTGAGCACCTCCAGGGGTAGTTCCTGAGCGCAGAGCCAGGAGTGACCCCTGGGCATTGCCAGGTGTGACCCAAAAAGCAAAAAAAAAAAAAAAAGATCTGCCTCTGAGGGGCCGGAAAGATAGTGCAGTGGGTAGGGCCCTTTCCTTGCATGTGGCCAAGCCAGATTTGATCCCTGACGGCACCTGTGATCCCCTGAGCCCAGAGCCGGGAGTAAGCCCTGAGCACCACTGGGTATGGCCCGCAAGCCAAAATCATATTGAGAAGAAGAAGCAACATCTGCCTTTGACGTTGGCACAGAACCTAGATTTGGAGCCCCTGAGGAAGGACTTCGCTCATCTGCGTTCCGATGACTAATACTGAGGGGAAGGAACGAGAGAGCAAAGGAGAGGCATCAGGCCCTGCTGGCAGCGGTCCCCAGAGTGGACGTGCCGATCAGGGACCTCATTCCAAGGGTAGCCAAGCGCAGATGAGGAGGAAAGTCTGAATAATGTGAATGAGACGTGATTGCATCACTCGGCTGTTGGGAAGGCACCTTGAAGGGCAGAGTCATCACATCGTTTCATTTTCACCAACCTCGGAAAAAATAATTCCGTGACTAAAGTAATGTCGACTGGCACTATTTGGTGTTTTCTTTTGTGTACCCTTCCTTATTAAGAAGTTTCTAATGTATTTTGTTAAAGAAAAAAAAAAGTAACACCGGCAAGACAGTAATAGGAAAGTTTTTAAAAGATAGCTTAAAAGTAAAGGATTAATCTCTAACCTTTGGAAGGCTTGAGACCCAGCCTAAGCTTTTTAGAATTTAGGAAAAAGACCAACTCTGTTATGTAACACACATTTAAAACCAGTTGAATCCGGGGTTGGAGCAATAACACAGCAGGTAGGGCCTTGCACGCGGCCGATCCGACCCAGGTTCGATTCCCAGCATCCCATATGGTCCCCTGGGCACTGCCAGGAGTAACTCCTGAGTGCAGAGCCAGGAGTCAGCCCTGTGCATCGCCAGGTGTGACCCAAAAAGCAAAAAAAAAAAAAAAAAAATTGAATCTTCAGTTCATGGAGGGAGGAATTGTCCTTGGTAATAAAACCAGCAAAGAACTTAAGTGTCCTGAGACATTTAAGTGTCCAGAGCGATAGTACAGTGGGGAGAGCATTTGATTTGTATGCGGCCAACCTGGGTTCGATCCCCCCAGCATCTCATAGGGTACCCCGAGCACCACCAGGAGTGATCCCTGAGTGCAGAGCCAGGAGTTAGCCCTGAGCATTGCTGGGTGTGACCCAAAAAGAGGAAAGAAAGAAGGAAGGAAAGAGGAAGGGAGGGAGGAAGGAAGGAAGGAAGGAAGGAAGGAACGTAAATAAGTCTTTCTATAGAATGAAAACTCTTCTAGATTGTCCCCAAACTGCCCATCATAGAGGCTCAAGGGGTCTTGATTTTCCTGCTCTCATGTGTCCTTATTGACATGCAGGTGTTACATTCCAGCCTGTTATCTCAGAGCATTTGATTCTCTGCCAAAATTATTCCCTGTTTGCTGAAGAACAGTTCTGGATTCTCCTGAATATGAAAAGAAGTTACGATTTAATATGAATAGTGGGAATAGTTGGACCTCTGAGAACTGAAGTCATATGCAGAATGTTCTTGAATTCATGCTTTTTGTGGGAGGCTGACTCGTGGCTTAGCCTACTCAGAGACCCTCTGGCCCGCTTGCTTTTCTTTGTATCTATAATTTTTCAGTGTAAGCCTCCTTAAATGTTACTATTTGAAATGATTAAAATACAAATAAGAAAATCCATACATTGTTAACAAATTTACATGGTGATGTGAGGTCACTAAGGGCCTTGAAGTGTCGACTCAAGGCTATTGTATAAGACAGTAAAATGTTTTTAAGGTAAAATACACAAGGAAAAACTTTAATTGATGCTTTTCAGAGTCGATGACAGAATAGTGGACACATTTGACTTTAAGCCTCCTTTCTAGTCTTAGAATATAAGAAGCCTTGAGCCATGTCCACTTCAGAGGTTTGGTTTGGTTTTTGCTTTTTGGGTTCCACCTGGCGATGCTCAGGGCAGATTCCTGACTCTGCACTCAGGACTCACTCCTGACGGTGCTCAGGAGACCCTATGGGATGCTGGGGATCAAGCCTGGGTCGGCTGCATGCAAGACAAACACCCTCCCTGCTGTGCTATCGCTCCAGCCCCCTCAACTTTAAGATCTTTAAGGAGACCCCAGACAGGTAGTTTTTCTGTCCCTGGTGACTACAGAAATAATGTTGATGTTTGGATGCAATGTCTGAGAGAATTTGGTTTACATTTTCCTTTGGTTAGATGATGTGATGAAGTGTTGATTTTTTTTTTTCAGTTTATCTGTTCTCTTGGTTCAGTAGTTTAATAAGCTGTTCCTGCTGTAGACCAGGCATTTTCTAGTCATTGAGACCAAAGTGTGATTTAAAAAAGCAAAGTTTCCTCATAAGGAGGCCATAGTTTATTCAGGGAACAGATAGCTTCAGACTGAGAGATACTGGTTCACAGGGGAAAGGGTGAGAATGGAATGTTTATTGTCTAAACATTAAATTCCAAGGTCTGTGGTGATTATCACTGTGGTGAGTATCACTTTCCCAAGAAGCTTCTGCAAGGGGCCAGAACAGCAGGGAGGGTCTCGCCTTGCAGGCAGCCAAGATGAGTCCATCCCTGGCATTCCATATGCCCCTTGGGCCCACCAGGAGTAGTTCTCAAGTGCAGAGCCAGCAGTAGCCCCCCGAATGCTGCTAGCCAAAAAAAAAAATTATAAAAAGAAGAAGCTTCATGTAAAAGTATTTATTTTACAGAATTTTCACTAGGATTTCACCTTCAGCTTCACTTATTCAAGAAATTTGAGGCCTAGAGTTGGCCAAGGCTGGGCCAGAATGGTATGATAGCACCTGCCTTGCGTGCGACCGACAAGAGTTAGATCTCCAGCACCCTGGATGGGTCCCCCAGACACCAGGAGGAATCCCTAAGGCGAGAGCCAGGATGAGCCCTGAGCACAGCCGGGTATGACATGCAGACAAGTTGACAGAGACTTGGGATTGTGTCTGCTTGTCCAGTGGGCACGGAAAACAGACATTTGTGAGAACTGGCCGTTCAGAGTCTTTGTAGAGCACCTTGCGTGGCATGACCGTAGATCACAGTGCCAGCCGGCTTGATGAGGACGGTCCCCAGCTGAGGGCCTTTACTGGCAGGGCTGGGACTTTGAATGGGCACCCTTGGGGTGAGGTTTCGGTTTTTTTTTCTTTTGGGTCACACCCGGCGATGCACAGGGGTTACTCCTGGCTTTGCACTCAGGAATTACTCCTGGCAGTGCTCGGTGGACCATATGGGATGCTGGGAATCGAACCCAGGTTGGCTGCATGCAAGGCAAATGCCCTCCCCACTGTGCTATCGCTCCAGCCCTCAGTTTTTTAAATAAATGTTTGTTTTTTTAAAGAATTTTATTTTATTTATTTATTTTTGACTTTTTGGGTCCCACCCGGCAATGCTCAGGGCTGACTCCTGACTCTGCACTCAGAAATCACTCCTGGCGGTGCTTGGGCGACCCTACGGGATACCGGGGATTGAACCCAGGTCAGCTGTGTGCAAGGCAAGCACCCTCCCTGATGTTCTATAGCTCCAGCCCTCAGTTTTGTTTTTTTTGCTTTTTTTTGGGGGGGGGGTCATACCTGGCGATGCACAGGGGTTCCTCCAGGCTCTGCACTCAGGAATTACCCCTGGCGGTGCTCGGGGGACCCTATGGGATGCTGGGAATCGAACCCGGGTTAGCCACATGCAAGGCAAACGCCCTCCCCGCTGTGCTATTGCTCCAGCCCCTCCAGCCCCAAATGTTTTTTATTGATTTTTACTTTCCTGTGATTTTCTGTACTGTTTCTGATGGTTTTCCAGTACATAAGCCCATCACCACACCTATCACCAACATGCCCACAGCCCCTCCCTTTCAGCCTCCCCCTACCCCCAAGCCCTACAGACTCACTGTGGGTCCCAGTTCTCCCACTGGGCTACCTCTGGCCTTGTGACTCTCTTGCTCTGTATCTTAAGTCCCACCCATGAGCAATCATTCTATCCCTGTCCCTTTCCTTCCGAACTGACTCCTCGGCACGATCTCCCCCAGTTCCACCTGCATCCCATCAGATTACGGATCTTGTCCTTTCGAAGAGCTACATGGTCTTCCGTGGTGTGTAGAGGCCACAGTTTCCTGATCCATTCATCCGTGGTTGACCATTTGGGTCATTTCCGTATCTTGGTTGTTGTACGGTAACAATGAATATAGGTGTGCATAAAGCATTTCCAGGGAATATTTTGTGTTTTGGGAAAGGATGCTAAGGAATGGTCTCTCTGGGTCATGTGCAGTTCATGAAGGCTGAACCAGATGACATGCCCAGTGGTGGATAAGGGTTGATGTCGGCCTGGCCTGCTCTCTGTTCTGTAGGGAAGTGCAGTATCTCCTTCAACATCTCCCCATTGCTTGGCTTCCTGTTTGATCAGTACTCGCCTTCCTCAGATGGCTTGATCGTTTCATTAGTTCATTACATTAACTGAAGAATCGACCGCGTTTAATTTTTCTTAGGACAGAGGACAGCTCCTACCTTTTGGGACTTCTGTGAATTGCCTCTTCTCTCCATTAACTACTCCATTTCCTTTGCAGGTACATGTCGAGCCTCTTCCCTCTACTAACTCACTCCGTTCCCTTTGCAGGTACATGTCGACCTTGTACTCTCACCCTGACTTTCCAGCAAAGGGGCCAGAGGAGATTAATGAAGAGCTCATGAAAAACGTCAGCCACAACCCTCTCTTACTGCTCACTCCCCAGAAAGTGAAAAGATACGTCGAGGCTTTGTGGAAGAAGAAAAGTTCTGGCCAACCTGTGACTTTCACTGACATATTTGGGATGTTAATCGGAGAAACGCTGATCCACAATGTGAGTGCACTCTACCTCCAGCCCTGTTAAGGCTCCATCTAAAGACACGATGTAGGAAACACTTCATTAAAAATGCCACTGGGCCTTGCATGCGGCTGACCCTGGTGCCATTCCCGGCATCCCATTGGTCCCCTGAGCACTGCCAGGAGTAATTCCTGAGTGCAGAGCCAGGAGTAACCCCTGAGCATCGCTGGGTCTGCCCCTAAACAGTTCCACTCAACACCTCCTGCCAGCCCATGAACTCTGTGTTTTAATTTAATGTTTAGTCTTACTGTTTTGTTTTTGATACTGAAAGGAGTTGCTTGTACTTCGTTTCTGTGGAGGCTGTTTCTAACCCCCGCCTGCCATTCCCTCCTAGTGTTGATCTTTGCAGATGAAGAGGGAAATAGGAGCAATTGTTTTCTTCAGGTAGAGAAAGACTGGAGGTTGTCTAGAGAGTCTGAAAAATAAGTGAATCCCTTCCAACAAGCCCATTTGACGCAGCCCAGGGCCCAATGTTTAATGTGCCGAGAAGCAGGAGAGGGAGTTCAAATGAACTCCCTGCCGTGCCAGGAACACAGCCTCCAGGTTCTTCCCGGCTCCTGGTGCCAACACAGAGGCTCACCAGTTACGGTTTGTGGAATGAGGTTAATGATTTCCACAAAGCCTCACATGTTCTTTACTCAGACCCAGGGATTTCTAAAATAAGACATTTCATTTATAAGAGTAAATGTCATTTAAAAAAATCTTTTTCTAGAAATCGATTTTCATTAAAAATGCCATGATTTACAAAGTTGTTCATTATACAGTTGTTTCAGACATTTAGTCCGACACCACCAGTGTGAACTTCCTTCTACCAATACCCCCAATTTCCCTCCCAATCCCAACCTGACCCCTTTGGTACATAACAGATTTACTTTCTATTGCTTATTCCAACAAAACTTTTTTTTATTAAAAATTTTTTTTAATAGTGAGACATCATGAGGTACAGTTGCAGACTTACACATTTTTGTGCTTGGGTTTCAATTATACAATGATCAAATACCCATCCCTCCACCCGTACCCATTTCCCACCACCACGGATCCCAGTATCCCTCCCACCCCCCATCCCCTCCAACAAAACTTTAATAACTCGCAAATTGATCACTTGATCACTTGATATCCCCGTTACTCATTAATTTGCTCAAGCGGGTGCCAGTAACGTCTCCATTTGTCCCTGTCACGCGCTAGTGTAGCCCAATGACATCTGCTCGCCACAGGAACACGAAGAGCCTCAAACCATTTGTTCAGGGCCTTGACGAAGAAGTCTGACCATCTCGTAGGTTGGTGTTCTTTTGACATCCCGTGGAATCCAGTCAGTAACAGCTCTAATCAAGCGGTTGTCTTCAAATCGACTTATGTGTCCAGCCCATCTGATTTTCGACGCCTTGGCAGATGAGACAGCGTTCCTGATCTTTGATCATCAACGGAGGTCGGAACCCCGGATTCTTTCACTTGAGTGAAGCGTGATACTCCAAGCATAGCTCTTTCAATTCCTTTTTGGGAGACCCGAATAGAGATCTCATCCTGTTTTTGTAGGGCCCAAGTCTCTGAGGCGTATGTTAATGCAGGAAGAACAGTGGAGTCGAAGAGATGTGCCCGGAGCTGGAGGTTCTTCATCCTCTTAGCTATTTCTTCAACACTCTTGAAGGCATTCCAAGCCGCTCTGTTCCTCCTGCACAACTCAGGTGCCAGGTCATTCGTCATGTTGAGTCCTCGACCTAGGTACACATAACTGTTGTGTTTGGAGATGTTCATTCCGTTGAGAGCAAATGGAACATAAAGAATGATTCTGTTTCTCATAAACATTGTCTTTGTGAGATTCAGCTGCAGTCCAACCTTTCCACACTCATGGTCGAAGTCGGCCAGCATTTGTGCTGCTTGGCTAATGTTTGGTGTTATTAGAACGATGTTATCAGCAAAGTGGAGGTGGTGTAGTTGCTGACCGTCTGTCTTCACTCCCATTCCTTCCCATTCCAGTCGTTGCATGACGTTCTCGAGGGTGGCACTGAAGAGTTTCGGTAAAATGGTATCGCCCTGCCAAACCCCTCTCTTGACATCGATGATCCCTTTCTTATGGAATGGTGAGATCCTGGTGGTGAATCTGTAATACAGCTCATGGAGGATCCTGATGTACTGAGTTTGAATGCACTGTTTGGCTAGGGCTTTGATGACCGCTTCAGTCTCAACAGAATCAAAGGCCTTCTTTAAATCAATGAACATTAGACAGAGTGGCATCTTGAACTCCCGAGAAACCTCAATGAGCTTGGTTATCATGTGAATATGGTCAATGGTGCTGAATCCTTTTTCAGGACCCGGCTTGCTCGCATGGTTGTCCTTCATCTAGTGTTCCGCCAATCCTATTCAGGATAACTCAAGTGAACAGCTTGTAGACAATGGACAACAGGCAGATCGGGGAATAGTTGCCAATGTCGTGGATGTCTCCCTTCTTGTACAGTAGAACGGTCCTGCTGGTTTTCCATTGGGACGGAACCTTGCATTCAGACAAGTAGCGTGTGAAGAGCCGAGCCAGTGTATTGACGAGTACTGATGGCAGATTCTTCAGGTGTTCAGGTCTGACCTTGTCTGGATCGGGTGCTGTATGCTTCTTTACCAAAGAAATGGCGTGTCAGATTTTGGAAGGGAGAACATTGGGAACGACATATCCATCCTGTGTAATTTGGTATGTGGGCAGGTGAACATGGCTATTGAAGAGATCCAAGTAGAAGTCATGGATAATCTTCTCCATTGCCCTTCTGGAAGATGTGATAGATCCATCAGGACATTGGAGGACAGTCATCTTGGTCATTTTTTTTGACCTCCACTACCAGGCAAATGGAATGATCAGAAAATAAATCAGTAGGGCAATTAGTGATTACTGTATGGTTTTGACCTCTGTAAATAAGAAAATGAAAACCATGTAATGCAGTTATAAGAAATTCTGATTTTCATTTACATATATACGTTTTTCAACTCTGGAGTGTGAAGTGATATCAGGTGTCTTGATGGGGAATTCAACTGGAAACAGCTTTCTTTGTCTTTATCCCTGAACCATTGCTTTTTTCCATGGACAGAGAATGGACTTGACCTTGAGCAGCTTAAAGGACAAAGTCGACTCAGCTCAGTGCCCGTTACCCCTTTTCACCTGCCTCCACGTCAAGCCTGATGTGTCGGAGTTAATGTTCGCAGGTATGGAATTTCCTCTTTCCTCAGAACTTGGAACGGAGGTATTGTTTTTTCGCTTGTTTTGTGTTTTGGGGTCTCATCTGGTGATGCTCAGGGGTTACTCCTGGCTCTGCACGCAGGAGTTAGTCCCCTTGGTGCTCAGGGGACCATATGGGATGCTGGGGATCGAACCCGGGTCGGCCGCATATGCAAGGCAAGTGCCCTACCCACTCTACTATTTCTCTGGCCCTTGAACTAAGTTTTCTAATGATTTTTTTTCAAATTTTTTTTTTAATTATTAGTGAAACATGATGCGGTAAAAACTTCTGTGCTGCATTCCTGTTACACAATGATCATGTACCCATCCCTCCACCAGTGCCCATTCCCCACCACCAATGAACCCAGTATCCCTCCCACCACTCCCATCGCATCCCCCCCACCCCACCCCGCCTCTGTGGCAGGGCATTCCCTTTTGCTCTCTCCTTTTGGGTGTTGTAGTTTGCAATATAGGTATTAAGTGGCTATCATGTTCGGTCCATAGTCCACTTTTAGTCCGCAGCTCCCATCCCGAGCAGGCCCTCCTAGCACCCTTTACCTGGTGGTCCCTTCTCTATCTGAGCTGCCTTTCCCCCCAGCATGTGAGGCCAGCTTTTAGGCTGTGGAGTAATCCTCCTGGTACTTATCTCTACTGTTCTTGGGTGTTAGTCTCCCATTCTGTTACCTTATATTCCAAAAATGAGTGCCGTCTTTCTATGTCTGTCCCTCTCCTTCTGACTCACTTCAGTCAACATGTTGAACCACCTATATGCAAATTACATGACTCCATCTTTTTCTAACCACTGCATAGTATTACAGAGGAGATAAGATGGTGTTGAAGTCTCCAACTACTATTGTGTTGCTCACAATGTCCTTCTTAAGGTCTGTTAGCAGTTGTTGTCAATATTTGGCTGGTCCCTCATTGGGTGCTTATACATTAAGGAGTGTGATTTCTTCCTGCTGTATATATCCCTTGACTAATAAAAAATGGCCTTCACTGTCCCTTCTAATCTTTTTCAACCTGAAATCTATGTTGTCCGATACTAGTAAGGCCACCCCAGCTTTTTTGAGGGAGTTGTTTGCTTGTAGGATTGTTTTCCATCCTTTGGCTTTGAGTCTGTGTTTGTTCTGACTGTTCAGATGTGTTTCTTACAAGAAAGAGAAAAATTAAGGAGAATTCTGGGTTCTGTCTCTGAATCCATTTTGCCACTCTGTGTCTCTCTTTTTTTTTTTGAGATTTACAAATTTTTTATTTTTTTTTATTAGTGAGACACCAGGAGGTACAGTTGTAGACTTACAAATTTTTGTGCTTGGGTTTCAGTTATACAATGATCGAGTACCCATCCCTCCACCAGTGCCCATTTCCCACCACCACGGATCCCCGGATCCCAGTATCCCTCCCACCCCCAATCCCCCCCATCCCACCCTGCCTCTGTGGCAGGGCATTCCCTTTTGTTCTCTCTCTCCTTTTGGGTGTTGTGGTTTGCAAAAGAGGCAGTGGGTGGCAATCATGTTCGGTCTATAGTCTACTTTCAGCATGCATCTCCCACCCTGGGAGGATCCTCCCAACACCCTTTATTTGGTGCTCCTTTCTCTATCTGAGCTCCCTTTTTTCCCTAGCACGTGTGGCTGGCCTCCAAGCCATGGAGCAAAATTCCTGGTACTAATCTCAGCCATTCTTGGGTGTTAGTCTCCTATTTTGTTATTTTATGTTCCCCAGATGAATGCAATCTTTTTATGTCTATCACTCTCTTTCTGACTCATTTCTCTTAACATGATACTTTCCATGTAGTACCACTTGTATGTAAATTTCATGACTTCATCTTTTCTAACAGTTACATAGGGCTGGAGCGATAGCACAGCGGTAGGGCGTTTACCTTGCACTCAGCCAACATGGCCGACCCGAGTTCGATTCCTCCGCCCCTCTCGGAGAGCCCGGCAAGCTCCCGAGAGTATCTCACCCGCACGGCAGAGCCTGGCAAGCTCCCCGTGACGTATTCGATATGCCAGACACAGTAACAACAAAGTCTCCAATGGAGACGTTACTGGGTCCGCTCGAGCAAATCGATGATCAACGGGAGGGCCTTTACATAGTACTCCATTGTGTAAATGTACCAAAGTTTCTTTAACCAGTCATCTGTTCTCGGGCACTCAGTTTTTTTTTCAGATTCTGGCTATTGTAAAGGCCGCTCTATGTCTCTTAATTGGTGAATTTAGACCATTGACGTTGAGAGAGATTATTGTTGTAGGGTTTTGTGTCATCTTTCTGTAAGGGTTTTTTGTGCTTGTAGGGGTTTGTCTTGTCTTACAGTAGCCCCTTTAGTCCTTCTTTTAGGTTTGGTTTTCAGTCTATGAAGTACCCAAGCTGTTGTTTATCCACAAAATAGTGTACCGTTCATTCGAGTTTGAGTGAGAGTTTAGCCGGATAGAGTATTCTTGGTGAAACGTTTATTTCATTGAGTTTTTTTCACTATATCCCACCATTGCCTTCAGGCTTGGAGGGTTTCCACTGATAGGTCTGAGGTGAATCTAAGGGGTGCTCCTTTATATGTGATTTCCTTCTTTGACCTTGCTGCTTGCAGGATTGTGTCTCTATCTGTGGCTTCTATCATTCTATGATATGTCTTGAAGTGTTTTTTTATTTATTTTATTATTTATTTATAATTATTTATTATTTTATTTATTTTAAAAGACCTCCCGGGGTTGAGGTCTCCAAGCCTACTTGGATTGGGACTGGGTCTTCTCCACCCAGACCCCCCATCTTCCAGTAGGTAGGCGTCACACCCACCAGCTGCCGACAGTGCCAGGTTGGTCCCATCAACGGCCAAGACGCAGAAACTATAAAACCCAGCTCCTGGAAGCGTGCGGCCGCAAATGCGGCCGTGCGACATCTTATTATCTTTCCTTTGGGGAATCTGGCAGGCTACCAGAAGTATCCTGCCTGCACAGCAGAGTCTGGCAAACTTCTCGTGTCGTACTCAATATCCCAAATACCAGTAACAATGATGGGTCTCATCCTCCTAATCCTGAAAGAGCATTGAAATGGCTCTTTTAAAATCTCAGGGCTAGGTAGAAGGAGACATTACTGGTGCCTGCTCGAGACAATCGATGAACAACAGGATGATCGTGATTGTGATCATGATTATTTGCTTTGCCTTTGTGGGTCCCACCCAAAGATGCTCAGGGCTGACTCCTGGCTCTGCACTCAGGAATTACTCCTGGCGGTGCTCAGGGGACCCTATGGGACGCTGGGGAGTGAACCTGGGTCGCTGTGTGCAAGGCAAATGCCCTCTCAGCTGACTCTGGCCCCTGGAGAACAATCTTTTAAAAAAAAAATTGCGTGTAAATACTTCTAGTTTACTAGGGAAATCCATGGATGTTCAGATTAAACCAGCTTTCACTCCCCTTTGGGATCTAGCCCAACAAGCCCTGACCCTTTCCGGACTTGTAGCTCATTTATCATCTCAGATTCTGTCCGCCTTGTTGTTGGAGAATCTTAAGAAATATCCTGTCTCTCGGAGCCATTGAACAATGCATGGAATATGTGCACGGCTGAGTCTGGGAGAGCTGACTGTCGTGAGGATGGCGGTTGGGTTTCTGGTCTAGCCTCTTCCACTCAGTCACCATTCTCCACGGGAACCTGACCCAAGCAGTGAGGGAGTGAGCAGTGTTCAGAGTGCGGATGTAGAGGAGGCCGGCTCTTGGTCAGGGCTACTCTTCAGACTCTGGTTTGGAGCACCTGCTCGACTGTGAAGGTGTTATTGAGCTGAGAGGTGACCTTTGACCTTCTCTGTCAGCCTTCCGTGATGAGAAGGTTCAGGCTGTTCCTTCCCACAGCGTTGGGCAAAGCCATCGAACATCCCAGAGGGGTCTTAGCCCCAGAGAAGGCACCCAAGAGTGTGTGCCAGGACTGAGAGTGATTGCAGTTGAAAAAAAAAAAAAAGGAAATCAGTTGAAAAGGGAGAATAAGTGAGGGCAGATACGTGCCTAGACTTTATTCCTGTCAGATGTACTTGCATCAGGTATGACTGCTCATGGGAGAAAGTTGAGAGATGATCGGAATTACATTTCAGAAGTCAAAAGAACCAAGTGGCTTATCTTTAACAAAATCACAGAATGTTTTTCTTCTCTCTTAGAGGAGTTTTAAACACTTTCCCTTTTGAAGATGTTAATGAAACAAACAGCCATTGTTAAAATTGTTTTTTAATTAAAAAAAAACACCTTTTTTTTTTTCTTTTTGAGGACGGGTCACACCCGGTGATGCTCAGGGGTTACTCCTGGCTCTGCGCTCAGGAACCACTCCTGGCAGTGCTCAGGGGACCCTATGGGATGCCAGGGATCAAACCCGGGTCAGCCACGTGCAAGGCAAACGCCCTCCCCGCTGTGCTGTCTAGCCCCTGTTAAAACTGTTAAGTATCTTTTTTGCTCCCCTCCCTTGCTGAGATAACTTAAATTTCACGGGGAAATCTCCACTGCAGTAAATTGCGTTCACTGAGCACGTTGGTGGACTCCTCCCACATTAGATGGTTTGACAGAAACTGTCAGGGTGGAGATAACCCCGTCACAAGTCAAACAAGAACACGCAGTGGGCTCCACGGTGCAGAACTGTCTGTTAGTGTGCGGAGCTGAGGGACAAGGGGCAGGCCACACCCTAAGCGCCTGCTGTGGCAAGTATAAGGCCACACGTCTGAGTGCCGCCAGCTCTGCCTCCCAGGGCTCCTGGACTCCCAAGGGTGGACCAGCTCCCGTGCTCCTGTGTGAACCCATGGGAGCCATGTGGCCGTGTCGGGTGTGGACTTCAGCCACATCCTAAGAGGGGCTTTGTGGCAAGGGCCAAATTCACGTGGAGGTGCAGGGGGGTTTCTGTGTGAGACTGTACGAGCAGAAGCTCCAAAGAGAACCCGGATGCAGGCTTCAGGGTCCAGGTGAGGAGGGGAGATTTGTCGAAGGGCAGTTTTCTTTTTCTTTTTGGGCCACACCCGGCAATGCACAGGGGTTACTCCTGGCTCAGGAATTACCCCTGGCGGTGCTCAGGGGACCACATGGGATGCTGCGAATCAAACCCGGTTTGGCTGTGTGCAAGGCAAACGCCCTACCTACCGTGCTATTGCTCCAACCCCATGTTGAAGGGCAGTTTGGAGGGAAGAAACATTCTGGGTGAGGTGGTTGTGTCTCGCTGCAATGGGGAAGGTCTGGAGCAGCAGGGGTCGGTGAGGGTGACGTGGCCAGCTTCAGGGGTGGGTCAGGGGCTGCCCAGGGCAGACACAGCAAGTGGCACCCAACTCCTGTACTGTTGCTGGGGCCCCTCCGGGTGTGTTTTTGTCACAGCACCCCTCCTGGAAGGGGGTGCTCCACCACTGAGGGAACAGCCCATGGTTCCTTTTCCAGAACTTTGGGGATGGGTGTCTGGGAATTCAAAATATTTGAGATTCTAGGGCTGGAGCGATAGCACAGCGGTAGGGCGTTTGCCTTGCACGCAGCTGGCCTGGTTCAATTTCTCCGTGACACTTTTGCACAGAGACAGGAATAAATATTAAGTACCACCAGGTGTGACACCTCCCTAGCAAAAACAAAAACCAAAACAAAAACAAATAGACTCTGTAGACCCTTTACCCATTGTTTCTTATTGCCATTAACATAAACACTTTTCATTGGTTATCGTATTGTGAGTTAGAATTAATACGCAAAGAAAGAGAAAGAAAAGGCAAGTGTTAATTTGATATTTAATTTATTAAATAGTTAAACTATTAAGTATTTAACATTTATTTAATATTTAATCCAAGTGTTCTACACTTCCATTTTGTCTCCTCCTCCTTCCCTCCCTCCTTTCTTCCTTCCTCCCTTCCTTCTTCCCTCCCTCCTTCCCTTCCTTCCTCTCTCCCTTCTTCCCTCCTTCTTTCCTCCCTCCCTCCCTCCCTCCCTCCCTCCCTCCCTCCCTCCCTCCCTCCCTTCCTTCCTTCCTCTTTCCTTTTTTTGGTTCATTTAAAAAATATTAATCAGGGGCCAAAATCCAAGGAATGATCCCTATGCACAGAGCCAGAAGTCAGCCCTGAGAGGGCTGGGAGTGCCCAAAAACTCAAAACAAAAAATTAAGTCATGAGGATGATCATGGCATTGTCAAGGGGGTCTTTAATTGTACAGGTTTCTCTAGTGTTTTCCTATTATGAGATCTTGTTTTGTTTTCAGATTGGGTTGAATTTAGTCCATATGAGATTGGCATGGCCAAGTATGGCACGTTTATGGCCCCTGACTTATTTGGAAGCAAGTTTTTTATGGGGAAAGTTGTGAAGAAATACGAAGAAAACCCTTTGCATTTCTTAATGGGTAAGTCCTCAGAACCTGCCACTGAATTGGGCTGAGAATTTTAATCTCGCCACATTCCAAGTCATTTTCTCTTTGTTTTATTTTAGGTGTCTGGGGAAGTGCCTTTTCTATCTTGTTCAACAGAGTCTTGGGAGTTTCTGGGTCCCAAAACAAAGGTTCCACGATGGAAGAAGAATTAGGTATAGTTGTTCATGATTGGATTTCAGTCATATAATGTCCCAGCATTACACATAATAACTTTTCAGTATCTGTATTGCAAACCATAATGCCCAAAAGAAATGAGAGAAAGAAGAAAAGTGCCTGCCTTAAAAGCAGGGAAACTGGGGGCAGGGGTGGGAAACCAGAGACCTTGGTGATAGGAGATGTGCACTGGTGAAGGGACAGGCGTTGGTGCTTACGTTAAGTGCGTGAGCTTCTTACCGCCCTTGGTAACTCCCACTGTGCTGCCTGTACCTGGGTCAGTTCGTAACTGATGATGGAGGGGTGAGCTAAGGACTGTTTCAGAGCCGGAGATTTTGAAGTGCAAACTAGAGGTGCCTGAACTTCCTCTGTCCTCTGAGGTCACTCAGCCAAGAAACAGCCTAACACACAGGCCTGGTCTGGCCAGAGGGGCCAGGCAGAGGGCATCGTCCCCAAATGCTCTGCCTCGGTTTCTAGAATGAACTTTGTGTCCCAGGTGAATGTCCTGAACTTGACTCGAGTTCCGCAGAAATAACAAACTCTCATCTAAATCCCACGGCGCTTTCTGGGAAAGCAGTGCCTCATGCCAGGCGGCTGCTTCCCTGCAGTCTCCAGTGCCCGGCCGGCCAGCCCCAGGGTTATCGGATCCACCCAGGCAGGAAGCAAGCATGGCTGAAACAATACTACCCCCTGAACTGGGGGACACCTGGTGGGGCACCAGAAACCGGGCAGGATGTATGAGACCTCGGGTTAGGGGAGATTTCCAGGACAGTGCAGGAAGGGGGTGTGCCTGCGCTGAAGACCACCTCGGGGCAACCGTGGCTCCTGGACCAGGGCTTCAAGACGGGACCTTCCGGCCCCGTCTGCCTTCCTTGCACAGAAAGCACCCCCATCCCCCCAACACTGTGAAGCTCTTCTCTGAGGCTCAAGATCGAGGCGGTTTTTCTGTCTCTGGTTTTGTTAGGTTTTCGAGTTTTTTGTTCTTTGGTTTGGGAGGCCACCCCTGGCGGTGTTTGGAGGCTTCCTCCTGGCTCTGTGCTCAGGGGTCACTCCTAGCAGGGCTGGGGTCCCTAGGGTTGCCGGGGATGGAAACCAGGATGGGTACATGAAAAGCAAGTACCATACCCAACGCTCCATCTTTCTGGCCCCTGCCAAGCATGACTTAATACATCTGTTTTTACTGTTAGTTACTTTTCCTGCCTCAAAATGAAGCCATCCCGTAGCCTCCTTTAGATTTTGGCTTTATTGGGCATTTACACTGAACTGCATTTCTGTGAAGAAAAAATACACTTGTTCCATTATGGTGAATTCCATCATAAATAGGAAAGAAAGCGCTCTACCCCTTCCATCCCTGAGCAGAAAGGCTTCATGCTGACTTCTTCCTGCTGGAGACCGTGTGGAAGTCTCAGAAAATCTCTCAGGGGGAGATCCACTGGGGTGGCCGCCTGCTCACTACCCTTTGTTCAGGTTCCTTTCTGGGGCAAAGTTTGCCAGGTGTCGGACACCCGAGATCCTTCACTGGGTTTGTTTTCTTTCCACAGAAAATATCACAGCCAAGCACATAGTCAGTAACGACAGCTCTGACAGCGACGATGAATCCCAGGGACCTAAAGGTAGGCACTGGCAGGCCCCCGCAGAGCTGTGGGGGATTCCTGCGTGGCCCACCCACCGCCTGGGCCTCAGCCCCCGCCTTCCCTTCTTTGCAGTACCTCTGAGCCATTAACAAATGGAGGCCAGAGACGTGGACAGACACAGAATTCTGTTTGAAATCTGATTTAGTCACTAGGCTTTTCACCCTAAGGAGTCTTAATTCCAGAGTGTTTTGGCATGGTTTCAGTATCATTACCATAATTGAGGCAGGCTCCCAATTGTGGACCAATCCTCCTGGCCCGTGTTTGTACTGTCCTTGGGTATTAGTCTCATACTATGTTTTTTTATGTCCCACAAATGAGTGCAGTCATTCTGTGTCTGTCCCTGTCTTTCTGACTCATTTCACTCAGCATGATACTCTCTGTGTCCATCCATTTACAGGCAAATTTCATGACTTCATTTTTCTTGGTGGCTACATATTGTAGATGTCCCCTAATTTCTTTATCCAGCCATCTGTTCTTGGGCACTCGGGTTGTTTCCAGATTCTGGCTATTGTGCATAGTGCTTCAGTGAACATAGAAGTGCAGACGGCACTTCTGCTGTGTGGTTTGCACTCCTGGGGTATATTCCCAAAAGTGGTATTGCTGGATCTTATGGAAGCTCAATTACTAGTGTTTTGAGGGATGCTCATACTGTTCTCTAAAAAGGCTGGAGCAGTCAGCATTCCCACCACCAATGAAGGAGATTCCCTTTCTCCCTGAATCCACACCAGCACTGACTGTTCTTGTTCTTTTTGATGTGTGCCGGTCTCTGTGGTACGAGATGAGATCTCATTGTACTTTGTGTGTGTGTGTGTGTGGTGTGTTTTCCTCCTGTTTGGGGGGGTCACACTGGGTGGTTCTGGGCTGCTGCTCCGGGCTTGGAGCTCATGGCTCACTTTGCAATGCTGGGCATGGACCTCTGTGCTCCGGCACGTAAAACCTAAAGCCTGCTTCCTCTTTACTGCTCGAACTCTGCACTCCTGCATATAAAGCCTGCTTCCTCTTTACTGCTTTGAGCTACTTCCCCAGCCCAAAACCCATCTTTGAGGAAGGGGTCAGTGATAAAATGGGGTAGCTATTGCATCAATTACTTTTTAATGAAAGTGAATTCTTTGAGGTACTTACCTTGAAAGTTACTGTGTCTTTTGTGTTTTGAGGGGGTTCTTCACATCAAACATGCAAGGCTTGTACTTTACATGGGGCCTTGTCTGGCAGTGCTCAGGGCTCACTCCTGGCTCTGCGTTCATGGATCTCTCCTGGAAGCCTTGGGGGCCATCGTGGTCCTGGGGATGAAATGCAGATTGACCACATGCCAAGCAAGCATACTAAACACTACTTCACTCAGGCCATCAACCATGTACTTTCGAGGTTGGTTATAATGATAGTGATGGCATGGAAACAGGGAGGAAGTAAGGATTATGATTTTACTGCAAATTTGAGAGCTAAGTGAGTGACTTTTACATTTTGATAGTTTCCCCCCACCTTTTGTATAGTATTTTTATACAAGCAACGTAATAAACAAGTGCAATTTGGAGTCAATAAATACAACCCAACAAATGGAGACAAAACACAGAGAAAGTTCTATGACAACTAGTTGAACATGCTGTGTGATAGTTTGGCTGTAGTCTAGTTTATAGAAGGTTCTAAATACTTTCAATTTTATATATATTTCAGTTTTTGGGCAACAACCAGCAGTGCTCAGGGGTTACTCCTAGCTCTGCACTCAGGAATCACTCCTCGCATGCTCAGGGGACCATTTGGGATGCCAGGGATCGAAGGGTCAGCCACATGCAAGGCAAGTGATTTACCTGCTGTACTGTCTGTCACTGCAGAGAGACAGTACACCTGGTAAAGTGGCCTCGTATGTGGCAGACCCTGTTCGATCCCTTGAACCCCATATGGTTCCTGCCAGGAGTGATCCCTGAGTATCGCCAAGTGTGGACCAAAAAAAAAAAAAACCCATGCCAAACTAAAAATAAACATTTCTCAATGCCAGCCATCAAACCAGGGCCTGATACATACTAGGTATGTGCTAGACCCCTGAGCCATATCCTCAGCCCATACTTGTTCAAGATTTCTATTCACCAGCTATACTGAAGACTCAGCCTGTTCTGTGCTCTGGAGCCACGGGGTTGGGGGGGCCATTCGGTGCCAGGATCAAATTTAGGGTCTCACATGCAGCAGGCTATTGCTCTTCACTTCTGCCACCTCCTTCACCTTGTAAGCACCTGTTTCTTCCTCTGGAATCATCACTGAGTTAAAGTCCTTTCAGCTGGCCTGTGCTCCCGTGTCATTCAGGATAAGTCGGAAAAAATGCAGCGTCATAGGCTCGTCGTCGGCTGGTGAGTAGGCAGCAACTAATGCATGGAAACTCAGCCCTGGGCACAGAGTTCCCGACTGGCCTGCGGCCTGAAGTGGACCGCAAATTGTAATCCAGCCCCACTGGCCTACTGACTATTTCTCAGTATGCATAGAGCCCTGGACACCAGCCCAGGCCTCCAGGATTCTGGACTGGAAGGATCTTGGGCTTCATTCTGCCTTTTTTCACAGTTTCAGCTTAAATGTCCTGTTTTTCAGTGGTTCAGTTCTCTTCATATTGAACGAGCTAGTCCCAACGGCATAGGCATGTGTGGCATTTCCAGAGATAATTCTATGCTGGTTCCAGATGTCAGAAGGGCTTGCCAGTTCTGAAGGAAGCTGCTGTAGCAGTTCAGAACGCTGGATCCTCCCTCGAGCACTGGCTGGTTATCATCAGACCGCAGAGGCCAGGAACCCTTTAACTGTGACTTCTTTGGTTTTCCTACCAACACAATTGAGAGGATGGTTGTTTTTGCAGATTACTCATTAGCCCTTAATATTCTTTGCTTCCTTTTAAGTTGACTTTGATTTTTAGAGTAATTGTAGATTCAAAGTATAACTGAGCAGTTTAGTTTCCACATATTTTATATTTTCTACATACACACGCACACTCATATCTCTCTCTTTCTCTCAGCTTTTTGGGCCACACTCAGTGATGCTCAGAGGTTTTCCTAGTTCTGCACTCAGGAATTACTCCTGACGGTGCTCAGGGCACCATATGAGATGCCAGAGATCAAACCCAGAGAGGCTGTGTGCAAGACAAACGCCCCTCCCAACTGTATTATTGCTCTGACAACCTCCTCCCCTCCCTGTCTCTGGTCACCTCCTCTCTCTTTCTTATACACACACACACACACACACACACACACACACACACACACACATGCACACCCTTTATTCCATCATCAATATCTGATTGAGGTCTGGCGCTTTTCTATTCGGTGAGCGAAACTTTCTAGTCCAGCCTAAGCTTAATATTCAGACTGTGATATACCATGTTCTGAGGGTTTTCACAAATGGCTAATGACCCATATCCGTGATTCTGGTCACCCTCAAAGGTGGCTCACTCTCCAGAAATGCTCTCTCCTTGGTCTACTCACTCCTGTTTCCTTCCTGTTCCCCTTGGCCACACACCCGGGCCACTGGCTCAGTAGCTCTGCAACTTCATGAATGACCTGTGGTGGCAGCCTATGGGTTCTTATCAGGTTTACTTCTTGATTTTAGCCCCATGCCGGGCAGGGTCTTCTCTGTTTTCCCCTGGCTTGTAGGTCACGGATATGCCATTGTCTGAGTGTGCCACAGCTTACTCACTCATTTACAGAAAGGTTTCTGAGTTGCTTCCTCATTTGGGCAGGTTTATTTGCTATAGCAGCTAGAAACTTCGGGTGGATATGTTTCCAAACTGTTTTGGATACCAACCAAGGAGCCTGTCTTTAAGCATATATTGGAAGTTAGTTTTAACAATGGGCTTTCTGACAAGAAAACCTCTCTCCACACATAGTTTCTCTATGAATGTACATTTATGTAAGTTTCCAGAAGTCTGGACAGAGGTGGTTAGGATGGTGAGGGGGTAATAGGTTGGGTTTTTTGGATTGTTTTGTTTCAGGGTTACACCCAGAGGTGCTGGGGTTTTCCTGGCTCTCTGCTCAGACATCCCTCCTGGTGGGCTGGGGAGGAAGGGAGGCTAGATGGGTGTTGGGGACTGGCCACCGGTGAGGCCCTGTCCACTGCACGATCTTGCTGGCCACAGCATTTGCTGGCGTGCAGAGGTTTGATTCCCAGCACTGTAGAGATGACATGGTGATTAGCAGGGCTTGGGGCCCTCCCTTCGACTCTCCTCTTCAGGCACAGAATCTCCTCACGTCTTCTCTCCTCAGACCCCAAATCCCCTCGTTCTCCTCTCCTCAGGCCCCAATCCCCTCGCTCTCCTCTCCTCAGGCCTTGAATCCTCTTGCTCTCCTCTCCTCAGGCCCAAATCCCCTCCCTCTCCTGTCTTCAGGCTTCGAACCCCTCGTTCTCCTCTCCTCAGGACCCGAATCCTCCCTCTTCCTCTCCTCAGGCCCGAATCCCCTCGCTCTCTCCTCAGGCCTCGAACCCCTCGCTCTCCTCTCCTCAGGACCCGAATTGCCTCGCTCTCCTCTCCTCTCCTCTCCTCAGGCCCGAATCCCCTCTCTTCAGGCCCGAATCCCCTTGCTCTCTTCTCCTGAGTCCCTGAATCCTCTCGCTCTCCTCTCCTCTGGCCTCGAACCCCTCGCTCTCCTCTCCCCAGGCCCGAATCCCCTTGAATGAATCCCCTCTCTCCTCCGCAGGCACCGAGGGCGAGGACGCCGAGAGGGAGTACCAGAATGACTGCCAGGCCAGCTGGGTGCAGCGCATGCTCATGGCGCTGGTCAGCGACTCGGCGCTCTTCAACACCAGGGAAGGCCGCGCCGGGAAGGTGCACAACTTCATGCTGGGCCTCAACCTCAACACCTCGTACCCGCTGTCGCCACTGAGGGACTTCGCCACGCAGGAGTCCTTGGACGAGGACGAGCTGGACACAGCGGTAGCAGGTGAGCCTCACAGTAGTCCGGAGGGGGTGCCTCCTTGGCTGACCAATCACACTCTCCCGAGGAGGCGTGCTCTTCCTTGGCTGACCAATCACACTCTCCCGAGGAGGCGTGCTCTTCCTTAGCTGGCCAATCACACTCCCGAGGAGGCGAGCTCTTCCTTTGACCAATTACACTCCCGAGGAGGCGTGCTCTTCCTTAGCTGGCCAATCATGCTCTTCCGAGGAGGCGTGCTTTTCCTTAGCTGGCCAATCACACTCTCCCGAGGAGGCGTGCTCTTCCTTAGCTGGCCAATCATGCTCTTCCGAGGAGGCGTGCTCTTCCTTAGCTGGCCAATCACACTCTCCCGAGGAGGCGTGCTCTTCCTTGGCTGACCAATCACACTCTCCCGAGGAGGCGTGCTCTTCCTTAGCTGGCCAATCACACTCCCGAGGAGGCGAGCTCTTCCTTTGACCAATTACACTCCCGAGGAGGCGTGCTCTTCCTTAGCTGGCCAATCATGCTCTTCCGAGGAGGCGTGCTTTTCCTTAGCTGGCCAATCACACTCTCCCGAGGAGGCGTGCTCTTCCTTAGCTGGCCAATCATGCTCTTCCGAGGAGGCGTGCTCTTCCTTAGCTGGCCAATCACACTCTCCCGAGGAGGCGTGCTCTTCCTTAGCTGGCCAATCACACTCTCCCAAGAAGGCATGCTCTTCCTTAGCTGGCCAATCACACTCTCCCGAGGAGGCGTGCTCTTCCTTAGCTGGCCAATCACACTCTCCCGAGGAGGCGTGCTCTTCCTTAGCTGGCCAATCACACTCCCGAGGAGGCGTGCTCTTCCTTAGCTGGCCAATCATGCTCTTCCGAGGAGGCGTGCTCTTCCTTAGCTGGCCAATCACACTCTCCCAAGGAGGCGTGCTCTTCCTTGGCTGACCAATCACACTCTCCCGAGGAGGCGTGCTCTTCCTTAGCTGGCCAATCACACTCCCGAGGAGGCGAGCTCTTCCTTTGACCAATTACACTCCCGAGGAGGCGTGCTCTTCCTTAGCTGGCCAATCATGCTCTTCCGAGGAGGCGTGCTCTTCCTTAGCTGGCCAATCACACTCTCCCGAGGAGGCGTGCTGTACCAGGGGTGCAGCCTTGGGCTCAGAAGTCTTCCCTTTTCTGTGCATGCGACTTTCGTTAGTCGTTGCTGCTGTTGCGAAAATGGACAGACGTGTCCTCTGTTTGTTGTGCATATTATGCAGCTGTGTTGCAAGTGTCACTTAGCGTCTTGCTTTCTGCTCTTAAAGTTTTAACAGCCTCTTGGCATTTTTGTGCTATTTCGTGTGGATTCAGGGGTGTCAGGGTTGCTGGGTAGAGCCCAGATTACCCAGTTGGAATTTCCGGTAATATACACCTAAAATTGTGGCCCCTACAATCATTGGGTAACTTGGACCCGACAAGTATTAGCTGTTTATCTGAAATTCCAGTAAAGTGAGGAATCCTGGATCTTTACTGGATCAAGTTGGTAGCCTCAGAACTGTGTGCCTCCTTTATTGTTTTTACCTTCTTCCGGTTGTTTTGATTTTTTTTCCATGCCTCCTTCCTCTGCTCTTTTATATTCATAAGTCTTGCAACTCTTGACGCAGGAGTCCCAGAGAATCCACACCTTCCTGAAAGTTAACAGTCTTGGCCCTGCCTCAGAGTTTTGATTCTTGGAATGATGGAAGTGCTTTAGTTCACAATGATAGAAAAGTAGAGTAAAATATAAAATTAAGGGCCAGAGAGACAGTACAGTGGGTGGGCTGCTTGCCTTGTATGCGGCGGACCTGGGTTCGACCCCTGGCATCCCATATGGTACCCCAGCACTGCCAGGAGTGATTCATGAGCCATAGTGCCATCAGTAACTGCTGTGCATCGCAGGGTGTGGCCCAAAACATAAAAATCTCAGGCCTCTGTCTGTGTCTCACAGTTATTAATTGGTGACCTCCTTCTCCAACTCTTATTTAAAAATACCATCTATTTAATTCTGTACTTTAGAAAGGAGAGTCACGGACCATGTTCACATAGTAACAGGAGCAAATGGAAATGTTAGCTGTTATTTCCAGAGGTTCACTAGTTAAGTATTTTTTTTTTTTGAGCTCTTTGGAAATTCTTCATAGGGGCCAGTATGCTGGTGCATGGAAGGTCCAGGGTGCAGCACAGGTCTGGGAGTTTGGTGCTCTGACTTGGAGCTCTGGTGCTTGCGCCCGACTGGGCTACAGATCCTGGGGCTTTAACTCAGGGCTTTGTAACTCACATATATCAAGCTCGTGCACCAACTCTTCAAGCCATTTTGAAGTGTTTTAATCTAAAATTGTTTTCAATGGTAATGCTATTTGGAAAGAACTTTAAAGTCTATCGCTAAGTGTCTCCTTACAAATTGATTTCAGTCACTTTGTATTTCTCCAGTAAAAAACACGTGCTGGCCAATTGATTTTAGTCAGAGAATGAGCAGGTCAGCGTGTTCACAGACCAGTGATGCTAACTATGACTGCATTTGCACAGAATATTCTGACCTGGCTATGCTTTCTCCAAAGAGGCCCTTCTTACATGGGCCAGAGAGAGAATACAGTGAATGGGTAAGGTGCTTGCCTTGTATGCAGCCAACCCAAGTTCAATCCCCAGCATCCCATATGGTTCCCTGAGCCCGCCAGGAATGCAGGAATAACCCCTAGGCTGGGTGTGGTCTAGAAAGACAAAAAAGAAAAGGCCCTTTCAAGCTATTCCTTTTTTCTAAGTTTAGAAAACGAGGTATTTGGAATGAAAATATAAAAGGCTTAATGCTAACTATGCTCTCGGTTCATGAAATCTTCACTTAAAATTCTTTATCTTGTATAAAGTACTCTCATTTAATCAAAATATTAGTTTGAAGGTTATTTCTCTTGCATCTCCCAGGCCAAAAGTTAGAGACTTTTCTCTAACCTTGATATTAGGTTGTGGAAATCTTTTTGGGTTATCAAATGATGATAACAGAGATGGAAATAGGAGGATCTTAGAATCAGACCAACCTAAAATGAGTAAAGTGCATTACTTCTGGCCTGCGACTTTACCTTACTAACAATGCTCTGAAAATGAGAGACACTATCAGGTCATGAAGTTATCCTGAGTCCGCTATTTTTAAATCCATGTATACCCAAAAAGACTGTTAGTCATGCGTCTTCTTTCCTGTTTTTGTATTGACGGTATCTTCTCTAATACTTACCATCTGGAATAAGAAATGAAGACTCAACTCAGGACAGAGTTCAAAACCCAAGTATCCAAATATTTGTACTATTGTACATTGAAAATGGAATCTGTGTGATGTGTTTACAAAATGATCACAAATCCACTGAACTATATTGCCTTAAGGAGATGTTGCGGGGGCTGGAGCAATAGCACAGTGGGTCGGACGTTTGCCTTGCACGCGGCCGACCCGGGTTCAATTCCCAGCATTCCATATGGTCCCCTGAGCACTGCCAGGAGTGATTCCTGAGTGCAAAGCCAGGAGTAACCCCTGAGCTTCACCAGGTGTGACCCAAAAAGCAAAAAAAGAAAGAAAAAAAAGGAGATGCTGCTCATTCATAGATCCCCATGTATCCACAGCTGTCAAGTGCTACTTCAAAAGGGTTAGAATCATGTGTGCCATTTTTTTTCTTTTGGTTTTGGGCCACACCAGCTGTGCTCAGGGCTTACTCCTGGCTCTCCAATCAGAGATCATTCTTGCAGGCGTCAGGGACCATATGTGGTGGGTGCCAGGGATCACACCTCAGTCTCCATGTGCAAGGCAAGCGCCCTCCCCTGCACTAACTCGGAAGCCTCAGAGTATTCCTTACTGTGGCATTGGACAATCTCTCAGTGGTGTTTTGACAGATGTCATACAGTACCTCAGGCTCCAGCTCAAAAATTTGGAAACACAGCTGCACCCCCTGTGGACAAGTGATTGGCTGTTCTCATGCTGGGCCGCGTCAGGGCCTCGCGTGGACACGGGCGTCCTGGAGTCTGGGGCTGGGCCGTTAGTCGCTGAGACGGGCACGCGCACCTGCGTCCGGGGCTGAGACGGGCACGCGCAGCTCCGTCGGGGGCTGAGACGGGCACGCGCACCTGCATCTGGAACTGAGACGGGCACGCGCACCTGAGTCAGGGGCCGAGACGGGCACACGCGGCTGCACCCGGGACTGGGACGGGCACACGGGGACGCGCGGCTGCGTCCTGGGCTGGGACGGGCACACGCAAGCTCCGTCACGGGCTGGGACGGGCACGCGCGCCTGCATCTGGAACTGAGACGGGCACGCGCACCGGAGTCGGGGGCTGAGACGGGCACGCGAGGGCTGAGTCGGGCACGCGCGGCTGCGCCCAGGACTGGGACGGGCACATGCAGCTCCGTCAGGGGCTCAGACGGGCACGCGCAGCTGCATTCGAGGCCGAGATGGGCACGCGCAACTCCATCGGGGGCTGAGACGGGCACGCGCAGCTGCGTCCGGGGGGCTGAGACGGTCACGCGCAGCTCCTTCGAGGGCTGGGACAGGCACTGGGACGGGCACGCGCAGCTCCGTCAGGGGCTGAGACGGGCACGCGCAGCTGCATTCGAGGCCGAGATGGGCACGCGCAACTCCATCGGGGGCTGAGACGGGCACGCGCAGCTGTGTCCGGGGGCTGAGACTGGCACGCGCAGCTCCTTCGAGGGCTGGGACGGGCACTGGGACGGGCACGCGCAGCTCCTTCGAGGGCTGGGACAGGCACTGGGACGGGCACGCGCAGCTCCGTCAGGGGCTGAGACGGGCACGAGCAGCTGCATTCGAGGCCGAGATGGGCACGCGCAACTCCATCGGGGGCTGAGACGGGCACACGCAGCTGCGTCCGGGGGCTGAGACGGGCACGCGCAGCTGCATTCGAGGCCGAGATGGGCACGCGCAACTCCATCGGGGGCTGAGACGGGCACGCGCAGCTCCTTCGAGGGCTGGGACAGGCACTGGGACGGGCACGCGCAGCTCCGTCAGGGGCTGAGACGAGCACGCGCAGCTGCATTCGAGGCCGAGATGGGCACGCACACTCCATCGGGGGCTGAGACGGGCACGCGCAGCTGCATTCGAGGCCGAGATGGGCACGCACACTCCATCGGGGGCTGAGACGGGCACGCGCAGCTGCATTCGAGGCCGAGATGGGCACGCGCAACTCCATCGGGGGCTGAGACGGGCACACGCAGCTGTGTCCGGGGGCTGAGACGGGCACGCGCAGCTGCATTCGAGGCCGAGATGGGCACGCGCAACTCCATCGGGGGCTGAGACGGGCACGCGCAGCTGTGTCCGGGGGCTGAGACGGGCACGCGCAGCTCCTTTGAGGGCTGGGACGGGCGTCTCGTGACGTGGAAGCCCGGAAGCACGTGCTGCTGCGTCTCCCACACGCGGGCTGTGTCGTCGTTCACACCCCACGTTTGAGGGGCAACACAGTGCAGTGAGGGGACAAGCCGTGACCACGAGGCGCCGGCCTGGGCGACGGGGCCCACCTTGACAGAAATCCTGTGGGAACAGCTGGGGCATCCGGGTGCCCGGGCTTGGTGGCTGGACAGCGTCCCCCGTGGGACCGAGGCCGACCCAGACCCACCCGCCTGCTAGGGCACGGCTCTGGGTCTCCGACCGCAGACAAGGACCACACAGGAATGCAATCAGCAAGCGGGCAGTTTCTTGAGCTGGCGAGCCAGGGTCGTGCACACGCACACAACAACACCCAGGTCCTGGGTGAGAGGCCAGACCCCGGCCCAAGGTACAGGGGTTACTTATATAGGCCCAAGTTGGCCGTTACAGCAGATTTGAAGGTCACAATTTAAGTAGGTGCCCGCCCCGAGCTTCACACACTATCCGGGTCCGAGGGCTGAGCCCGGACCCGTGACAGCATCTGTTTCATGGCTCAGGGGCTCAAACATTCCTCCCGAACAAGCAGATATTAGAGACCTGAGTGGAAACTTTACTATCTTCATTGTCCTTGGCCAGGTCTGAGGCTGTCCTGTCCTAACAGGCCGTGGACAGTCCCCAGGGCCAGTAACCCTCAGTGGACGGCCCTCAGGGCCCCTAACCCTTGCTCTGTTGCTGTTCCCTTCCCTCCCGGAGACCCCGACGAATTCGAGCGCATCTACGAGCCCCTGGATGTGAAGAGCAAGAAGATCCACGTGGTGGACAGCGGCCTCACCTTCAACCTGCCCTACCCACTGATCCTGCGGCCACAGCGGGGCGTAGACCTCATCATCTCCTTCGACTTCTCGGCCCGGCCCAGTGACTCCAGTCCGCCCTTCAAGGTGAGTGCGGACCCCCCTCCCCTGGCCCTGGAGTGCACGGTGCTCCCTGCACCCCCTGCATGGGTCATCCCACAGCTCCTCAGGCCATATTGAGCCCTCATCCTGATGCCACCCGGGCCGGGAGGGAGGTCGGGGACCATGCAGGTCCTGAAACCTGGTCCGGCGAGGAGAATGACCACAGACCTCAAAGCCACAAGAGCGAAGGATGGAACCCAGGAGTGTGGCAACCAGCCGAAGGCATTGAGCAACAAGGAAGCCGTAATTCTTGGTCAGATTTCTGTGAAGAATCCTTATCATTGAATAGGCGTGGAGAGAATTTCCTCTCTTTGATAGTGTGCAGAATTCACAGGCACTCTGCAGTTCTTGTTGTTAGCAACCTCTTCAAGAAGAGGTTACTATAAATAATTTTTTTTTAAAAAAAGTGAGAAATTTGGGGCTGGAGTGATAGCACAGCGGGTAGGGTGTTTGCCTTGCACGCAACCAATCCAACATCCCATATGGTCCCCTGAGCACCGCCAGGAGTAATTCCTGAATGCAGAGCCAGGAGTAACCCTTGAACATCGCTGGGCGTGACCCAAAAAGCAAAAAAAAAAAAAAAAAAAGGGAGAAATTCATGTTGTCTCCATGACTGTGCAATTGGGCAAGGGCATCATCTGTAGGGTTGTTGTGAGGGCAAAAGTCAGACTGCAGGCATTAAAGGAACAAGCAGTGATGAGAAATTGAAGACAGGTCCTGGAGTGGTGGTACAGCAGAAGTGCATTTGCCTTGCCCGTGGCCAACCCAGGTTCAATCCCCAGCATCCCATATGGTTCCCCAGGCACCGCTAGGAGTAAATCCTGAGGGCAGAGCTAGGAGGAACCTCTGAGCATTGCCGGGTATGACCCCCAAAATCCAAAAAATGAAAGATTGGCCAGAGGGATAGTATAACAGGCAGGGCGTTTGCCTTGTACGTGGCCTACCTGTGTTCGATTTCCCCAGCATGCCAGCGTCCGAATCTCCTAGCACCACTGGGAGTGATTACTGAGCACAGAGATAGTACAGCAGGTAGGGCATTTGCTTGCATGTGGCTGAGTGAGGCGTGATCCCTGGCACCGTATGTGGTGCTCTAAACCCTGTCAGGAGTGGTTCCTGAGCAGAGCCAGGAGTAAGCCCTGAGCACCACCGAGGGTGGCTCAAAAAGATTAGGGGGGCAAAAAAATGCCAGTTCAAAGATGCCAGGGAGGAAAGAGATGGGTTTATTCTGCAGGGGACAGGATGCTTGGAGTGTGTGGAGGCTTGGGCAGATTTACTCCCACTGAGGAAGAGTCATAGGGCTGGAGCGATATCACAGCGGTAGGGCGCTTGCCTTACGAGCGGCCAACATGGCCGACCCAAGTTCGATTCCTCCATCCCTCTCAGAGAGCCCGGCAAGCTACCGAGAGTATCTCGCCCGCACGGCAGAGCCTGGCAAGCTTCCCGTGACGTATTTGATATGCCAAACACAGTAACAACAAGTCTCACGATGGAGACGTTACTGGCCCCGCTCGAGCAAATTGATGAACAACGGGAGGACCGTGGAACAACGGGAGGACCGTGATACACCGTGAGGAAGAGTCATCCCGAAGGTATTACTGAACTGTGGAGAGATGACAGGTGTGATGGAGTCAAATCCCTAGGAAGCCATAGGCATGAGGCAGAAGACACATAAATGTACAGGTGGAGTGGTGGGATCCTCAGCTCTACAAAAAGCTGAAAGCCTCCCATTTGCACCGACATGTAACTTGAGGGTATTCTGCCAGGTGAAATAAGTCAGATGAGAGAGAGACACACACACACACCATGTGATTTCACACACATTTGGTACATAGAGAAATAAAACGAATGAGTAAAAACTGAACTTTTAGACTCTTAGATCAGCAGCCGTGGGCAAGGGGCAAAATTGAGCAGAAGGATCAAATTGATGATGAACCATTGAATAGGTAACCACTAACTTAGCCTTATAATGGGCTGGAGCAATAGCACAGCGGGGTAGGGCGTTTGCCTTGCACGCAGCCAACGTGGCCAACCCGAGTTCGATTCCTCTGCCCCTCTTGGAGAGCCTGGCAAACTACCGAGTGTATCTCGCCCACATGGCAAAGCCTGGAAAGCTCCCCGTGATGTATTCAAGATGCCAAACACAGTAACAAGTCTCACAGTGTTACTGGGCCCGCTCTAGCAAATCGATGAACAACGGGACGACAGTGACAGTGACAGTCTTAAAATTCTGAAGTTTATCTCTCTTCCATTTATGCATTCATGTATAAAAATATGATTCTTGGTCTCAAATGTTATCACTTAGGGGAGAAATACTTTTATTCACCAGAACCACTTGAAAGAAATTTAGAAACTTTATATTAGTTCGAGCGCTCGAGCGGGCCCAGTACCGTCTCCATTGGAGACTTTGTTGTTACTGTGTCTGGCATATCGAATACTCTCGGTAGCTTGCCGGGCTTCATTTGGTTTTATGTAAGTGTATTATATTAAAGAGATTTGGTGCGCCCTGGAATGGACTGACATAAGCTTCCAGAGTGAAATTGATGCAGAGCAGACCATGAGCACATGAGGAACCATGATTAGACGGGATGCGCAGTAGGACCCCATGGGGGGCTGGAAGGAAAAATTAAGATTGGATGATTGGAAATAGATCATCAGTGGGGCTGTTTTCAGCACACAAATGACTTCATGGAATTAGAATTTTAGGATCATTAACTTGACAGTGTGGACTGGAGCGATAGCACAGCGGTAGGGCGTTTGCCTTGCACGCAGGCAATATGGCCGACCCGAGTTCGATTCCTCTGCCCCTCTCAGAGAACCTGGCAAGCTACCGAGAGTATCCCGCCCACACGGCAGAGCTTGGCAAGTTCCCCGTGGCATATTTAATATGCCTAACACAGTAACAACAAAGTCTCCAATGGAGACGTTACTGGGCCCGCTCGAGCAAATCAATGAACAATGGGAGGACCGTGGACCGTGAACTTGACAGTGGGAAATAGGGTGAGTTGGAGAATTGCCAACCAAAAAGAGGAAAGCCTAGAGAAATTTGCTATGATGAGAACATAGGATAGTGAGGGCTGCCCAGGGCCAGGGGTAGATTTGTTACCCTTGAACAGTGTCAGTGGGTGACTCAAAGGTTAGCATCACACTGGCAGAAACTTGTTCATTTACCTCTGGCAGTATAAATCATCAAGGCCATTCTTTCAGAGAGGGGTCAGAGCCAAGCCCCTCACAAGCTGGAGCTTGAACAGTCTAGAAAATTCCAAAAAGGATTTTGATCGTTTGTTAGAGTTTTTAAATGCACATTGGTTTATTGTTTCATTTTTTAAAAATTAAGAATAGAAGAATATATAAACGTACTGTTTCAGCTCGTTGTACACAAAATGTGGAGATTTTTAATACACCTCAAGTGTTTCTGTTCTTAGACCGAAGCTGTCAGTGTGTCGGCATTTCCATTTAGTCTCTCTTCACTGTGTGTGTGTGTATTAGTGTACCCTGAGGTGATGTTGTTTTGCATTGCTTCCCCCCATTTTGTGTGTGTGTGTGTGTGTGTGTGTGTGTGTGTGTGTGTGTGTGTGTGTGTTAGGTGTTAGGGGGACATACCTGATTCTGTGCTCAGAGCACCACTCCTGGTGATGCTCTGGGTCCATATCTGACACTGGGGATTGAAGCCAGATCAGCCTGCTCTGGGAGTGAACAGGCTGATGGCAGTGCTGGTGCCACTGGTCTGGGTTTGGGCTCCAAGCCACGTGCAAGGCAAGTATCTTTATGCCATCTGTCTGAGCTCTATTGTGTTTCTTTTTTAAAAAATGTGTTTTAGGGGCTGGAGTGATAGCACAGCGGGTAGGGTGTTTGCATTGCACGCGGCCCAGCTCGAGTTCGATTCCCAGCATCCATAGGGTCCACCGAGCACCGCCAGGAATAATTCCTGGGTGCATGAGCCAGGAGTGACCCCTGTGCATCGCTGGGTGTGACTCAAGAAAGCAAAAAAAATTTTGTTTTAGTTATTGTGGTTTAGAGTACTGTCAGTGATAAGGTTCCATGCGTGCTGTATTCCAGTACCACACCCTCCACTAGAGTGTTTTTTGTCCTCCAGTGTCAGGATTCCCACTCACACACACACTCCCCCTCAACCTTCCCCCCCCCCCCCCCCCCGCCACCCCAGTTCTTTCTACTGCAGCAAACTCAGTTCTGTAGAACAGTTCTGAGGTCATGTTGTGGAACCTTTGGCCGTTTGTTCTTTATTTCCTTTCTGTGTTTCTTTATATCCTACAGATGAGCAGGGTCATTCTGTGTCCGTCTCTCTACTCCCGACTCACTTCACTCAGCATGGTACCCTCCAGTCCATTCACTTAGTGGCAACATTGCATGATTTTGTCTTTTCTTAGAGCTGTATAGTATTTTATTATATATATATATATATATATATATATATATATGGTAAAGGTAAAGGTAAAGGCCCTCCCGTTGATCGTCGATTTGCTCGAGCGGGCCCAGTAATGTCTCCATTGGAGACTTTGTTGTTACTGTGTTTGGCAGATCGAATACTCTCGGTAGCTTGCCGGGCTCTCCGAGAGGGGCGGAGGAATTGAACTCGGGTCGGCCATGTTGGCCGCTTGTAAGGCGAACGCCCTACCGCTGTGCTATCACTCCAGCCCTATATATATGTATATGTATATATATATATATATATATATATATATATATATATCCCATAGTTTCTTTACCCACTCATTCCCCAAAATTGATAAGAAGGACCAGGGATTTGATGCGAGTTGTAGAGTACATGCCCAGCATGTGTGAGGCCCTGGGCTCGATTCCTGACACTGAATGCCCTGTACATGGGCACCATCAGGGTAGCCTGGTGGCTTACAAGCACTGAGCTCTTCAGGCCTGCGCTCCTCCCCATAAGAGTATTTAAACATAAAAATTGATTGCAGCCCCAAACACTTGCACAGTCATGGAGACAACATGAATTTCTCGCTTTT